AGCATAGAAACGGCAGCACCGATCAGCCTGAAATTTGGCAGGTGCGTTGCGCCAACCAATGGTTTTATGATAGACTCCATATTTGAGGAGGGGGCTCCATCTGTAAAGGGGGTGTCTGGACATACAAAAAATGCTTATAACTCCAAAACTATTCAACATAGGAGCTTCAGATTTATTTGTTGTTTAGCTCTGATGAAGGACTACCAATTGGGCCCACCAATAAGCACCCCTCCCACCACCTCTGTACCCCTATCTCTATGTTTCCCCTTCAATGAACTTGTGGCCTGTCTATGGTGAGCCTTGCCTCTCAATGACTGCTGGAAATGGGGATGAAGCTCCTCCTGAAAATGAGGTGCAGGTAAATAAAATTGAGATGGATGTTATTTCTCACTTTATTAAAACTACTGTTTTTCTAGTGAAACATCACTGATGGAATATCCACCAGTTCATCCTCAGATATGAAAAAAAAAAAATCACAATATCAGCTTTAACTTTATCTCACCAGAAGCCTGAAGATTTTTGTTGATGACAGTAATGTTACTGACGATCATATTTACCTCTGCTGTGACCAGAGAGAGCCCCCTAAATTACCTGGACCCCCCGCTGCTGCTGGCTCTCACTGTGAGAGGGAAGACAGAGCAAAGATGCAGACAGAACATTTTCAGCAGACACACAGGAACATTAACCCAAGCACAATCAAAAACTTATTTCCCCAGATGTCGGCATATCTCATATCCGGTAATTTGTTGTTTTGCATAAACAGCAAGACGAGGAGGAGGAGGTGATCCAACGGGRGACAGACAGATGAACGGACAGAGATGCTGCAGAGGGGATTTCATTTCTAATCCTGCTGCTGCATTTGCAGTATCTTCCTCACTTCTCTCTCTTTTTTTTTTTTTACTTGACTCTAATTATCCTGCTGAGAAATAAAATTTGATTTTTCAGCCGGAAATTTAATTGAGGTTTCCTCTAGGAAATCATTTTCTGACTGTGGAGAGCACTCCGAGTCAGCCTCTTATCTTTTGGTAATACTAGTTTTACAGGTTACATTAAGTGCTGCAGATATTAGACGACTCACCTTTTGACATCTTGAATAATATTTCTAATATTTAAAGCAACAGGATTTTGAAAAAAAACTTGATCTTTTATTTCACCTGTTTTTATGATGTGATCAAACTGAAGCAAAAAAAAATCACTGTTTTATAAGACATTTTTTGAGCATTAGTATCCAGGTTTATACTTCAAGATTTGTATAAAAAGCTTATTATTTTCTAAGAATTATCCATTGCTACAAAATAAAAGCATAAAAAACATCTCYTGCTTTACAAAAGTGAACAAAGTGAAATAACTTGGAAGCATTTGCAGTAAAAATATGTTTGTAAACTTCCTGAACTAAGATTTTTACCCAAAATGTTTTTATACAGAACCAACATTATTTACTAATGATTGCTTTACATAGTGTTGTACAAACATCTGCATTGTTTTTACTTGCTTGTTTGTAATGTGAGTTTATTTATTTGCTCATTGTTGTGTTGCTTTTTTGTGTTTTTAAATTAAGACATATGCTCATAACTCTGTTCTGTGCATCTTCGAGTGCTGGATGACAAATAAGATAATCTGAATATTTTGAAATGAAATTATTGTTTTATATTTCAATGGAAATATTAGGTTATGAGACACAAACACACCTTAAAAACAACAGAGAATGTATATTTGCTTCTGAATAAAACTTCAACTATTTTATTTAAAGTATTAAAAATGAATGACGTCTCTTCAAAATATCAAAAAATTCTAATGMAATTTTCCATGGTCTACTCCATTGGAAGTCAAGTGCGTTTTAAATTGAGGAAGTGCGGGGCGTGGTCCTGCGCGCTCCCGCTCTCTGATTGGCTCCAGTCAATCTATTATGATAATGAGGAGGGCGTGGCCTGAGCGCCAGCGACGCTGAGCCGCTGAGAACCGCCTCATTGTGTGGTTTTGACCCGGTCCGGACGCATCTCCTCACTGACTCGGCTCCTCTCTGGTGGATTTATACTTCAGGACTCGGTTCTGAGGGACGGACTTTCCTCACCGGCTCGGTTCCGGCTTTGAATTTGGAACTAAGCGGAGCAGTTGTGGATTATTGTGCCGGAGCCGGACGGAGGGAGACGATTTCGGGTCCGGTTTGTGGAGATGCTGGGACCGAAAGGTGAGTTATTCCTCCTCTCGGGGAATCTTGTGTTCTTGCTCCCAGCGCGCGCGCGCGTCCATGCCTCGCAGTTTAGTGGAAGTGTGTGTGTTTGTGCACGAAGGAAGCAAACATATTTTTTTTGTCCTCGCACGTGCATTCAATTTGGAGCGCGTGCGTGTTTGCCACGCTCTGATTGACGGCTGTCAGAGTCMGCACGCGCGTCAGAAACAACAAAAAACAAACAGGTAAAGGAGGCGCGAGCGTCTGTTCATCACTCCTGTCCTCTTCCAGTGCGCCTCTAAAAGGCTGCTTGTTTTCAGGGGTCTGGGTGGTCTGCGGGGGGTCTGGGTTTACGTTTTGCGGAGTAAAAACCTCCTTTTCTTGCAGCTGAAACCTCCTCTCCTCTCCCCCTCTAACGTTTGGGTGGGGGTCTTTGTCTTCCCTGTGGTTTTAAAGGTTAATTTTCATAGACGGATCCCACACATTTACCCCCCACTCTGGACCGTCTGTACCCGGTCCTCTGCGACCCCCCTGTCTCTCAGCAGAGGTGGTATTTGTCTTGTTTTGGTTCCAGGTACCTGGGCGCGCGCAGCTGCAAGCGACGTTTAGGCTCATCAATAATTCAGTCCCTGCCTGGGTTTATGGGCTGGGAGGACCAATCGGTTAATCGATCAGTGTTTATTATATATAATCAAATGGTCTTCAACTGGTAGGATTGCTTGTGTGTTTAAATAAAAAAAGAGTTTGGAAGACCCTTATTTGTGTCTAAGCAGAACAATACTCTGCAGATAATTTAAACAGAACCTCATTGTTTCATAGATAACCAGAACCACCTGAATCACAGATTAATAATGTGGGG